CTGGGAGAGAAAGACTTGTCCTGAGCGTGGCTGGCAGTATCTAGCAGGCTGGTGCCCAGAGAGACAGGATGTTGAGGAAGGAGGTGCATGTATGCCAGCAGGATTCGGTCCTTTCTGAGTGAGTGTTGCTTCCTTTGTTTACTGGCCATCAGACTCCATCTTCGGCAGCCTTTCTCTGTGGAGTTAATGTGAGCGGCTCTCTAGGCTTTCAGAGCTGGGCCCAAGGTGTCCAGTTGCATTTACTGGGCAGGTACTACATTCGCTGCCTTCCCACAGAAGGACACTTTTGTGGACCTACCCAGCCCCTCCAGGAAAGTATTCCAATGATCATTTAATACACATGCTATTGTTCTGTCCCTCTTGAGAGCTCTGACTAACACAACCGTGTCCTTCAGAAATAATTAAGATGATAACTTCACAGTGGCTCATATCCTTAATCTCAGAATTGTATGGCTGAGACAGGAGGATCACCATGGGCTTTTGAGGCCAAAGCTGGGTAACAAGGTGAAGTTCAGATCAGCCTCTATTACCGATTGAGTAATGGGTGGGGAGGAGACAGCCAAGTTTAATGTTAGTTTTTCTTTTTTTCCTCAAAAAATATACAAAGTACAAATAGAAAAATAATCAATTTCATTTTGAGGATATATACATAAATCAAACTTTAGTATAAAAATAATGATAACATGATCACTAAGGCAAGATCTGAATGAGAATATACAATTGTCAAATTTTGTGTAACAGTAGCTCTTCTGTCCTTTTCAGTGGTGGAAAACACAAACACAGATGTGTACACAGGGGGAACTCATTAAAAAAGTCTGACTTAACCGTACCGAACTTTGCACAATTAGGGGATGGGAAGATGGCTCAGTAGATAAAGTGCCTTCAGAATGAGCATGGGGACCCGAATCTGACCCTCAGCATGAACATAAAAAGACAGGCATGAAGGTGTGTTCTTATGATTCCAGCATTGGGAGGGTGGAGTCAGGGGGATTCCTGGATTCCTTGGCTAGCCAGCCTAGCCTAATTGGAGAGCTCTTCATCCTAGTGAGAGACTCTTCCTTAAAAAGGAATGTAAGGTAGTCCTGAGAGCAACACCGGAAGTTTACTGCTGGTCTCCACATATATACCTCTGTGTACACCCCATTACCCCCACAAACATTGTTATTGCATTTTCTTATCTATCTATCTATCTATCTATCTATCTATCTATCTATCTATCTATCTATCTATCTATCTATCATCTATCTATCCTCTCTCTCTCTCTCCCCCCTATCTCTCTCTATCATCTATCTATTTAACTATCTACTATTTTTGAGGGGCAGGGTCTCATATATGCCAGGCTAGCCTTGAATTTTCAAGGTAGATGAGGATGACCTTAAACTTCAGCTCTCCAGGGCTGGGACTATAGGCATGTGCCTCCACATTCTTTTTCCTTTTCTAACCATTCTGGTGGAGTCAGAGAAATGAAGCGTGGGTGAGTAGGCCCTGGTTCCAAGCCTTTTCCGACATTAGTGGATCATTTCTCATTGGCCACACCACTTCTCACTCATGGGGCAGCATGAGCCTTAGGAATGTGTTGATGCTGACGGCAGCATCCACAACACCTGGAAATGCTCATCATCCAGTCCCAGCTCAGCCACACACTTCATACTGTGCATGTGAGAACAGAAGAATCCCCATTTATGTTCCTTTTGCTTTTCCAAATGAGAAAACCAAAGTCTAAGGTCGTTAAGATAGTTCATCAGAATGATCGTGGGAGCTGAATTCACATTTGGATCTCTCTATTTGCCATGTCTAAGCTCTTCCCTTATGTGGTCAATAGGAAAAAAAAAAAGAGTGGGTTTGCAGGGACCTGAAATGACAATGTTTTCCAACTTACACCAGCTTTCAGGAAAGTCTCTTGCTATGAACTATCAGCATGAAAGGTCGTTCTTTAATAGTATGTTAGGTAATTCACACTGAGACTTGAACCTAGGGCCTCCTGCATGCCAGACACTAAGCTACACACCCAGATTTTACTTTTAGTGTGTATTTTGCTGACAGAACTGTTATATTTATTTCTCTACTGAGTGTGTGTGTGTGTGTACGTGAATGTGTATGCACAAGACACAGCACATACGTGTAGGTCAGAGAACAACTGGACAACTTGCTGAGTTGATTCCCTCCTTCTACCATTTAGGATCTGAAGACTAAACTTAAGTCATCAGGCTTGGTGGTGGCAAATGCCCTTACCCACTAGCCACCTTGCTATTAATGTTTTTTTAGATTGATTTATTTGTTTTACATACGTGTTTTGCTTGCATATTTGTATATGCACCAATGGCACACGGTACCCACAGATATCATAAAAGGGCACCAGGTTTCATAGAAAGTAGAGTTAGAGATGGTTATGTTCTGCCACATGGGCGCTGGAAACTGAACCTAGGAATTTTCCAAGACCAGGAAGGACACTTAACCACTGAGCCGTGCTCCAACCTCTTTTTAGGTTAGAGACAACCTCTTGCTAAGTTAACCAGACTGGCTTTATTGCCAGGGATGGCCTTGAATTTAAAATCCTCCTATTTTAGGTTCAGGAAGGACTGAAGCGTGGGCCTGTGCTGTCAGGCCCAGGTTGTCTTAAGTTTACAATCATCACAAAATATATGATTTTTCAGTTTTGATCCAATAACTACTCTTTAAATTTCCTCATTTGTTTTCGGCAAACAATGAGGAGTTTAGCAGGGAGATATCACTTCCTTATGGATGCCTGAGACTTTGCTACCAAAGCAACAGTTTTTACAGGTCCATAGACCTGAATGTCATGTCAAGTCCACATTCCTTCCTTCCTTCCTTCCTTCCTTCCTTCCTTCCTTCCTTCCTTCCTTCCTTCCTTCCTTCCATCCTTCCTTCCTTCCTTCCCTCCTTCCTTCCTTCCCTCCTTCCTTCTTTCTTTTCCTCCTTGCTGAGACAGAGTCTCACATAGCCTAGGCTCACTTCAGATTTGCTATGTAGCCAATGGTGACCTTTTCGATCCTTCTACCTCCACATCTCAAGTACTGGGAGTAGAGGCATGCACCATCACCTGGTTTATGTAGTGCTGGTGGTCAAACCCCAGACTCTGTGCCATCTAGGTAAGTACTCTTCTCAAGTGAGCTACACGCCCCCCCATGTTTCTTTTTCACCCATGCAGCACTCCGGACAGCCCAGTCTCACAGAGGTCTAAAAGATCTACTCTGTCCCTTCTGTAGGCACAACACATTTTCCTCAAAAGATTGATTTAATAGTTTAATTAGACAATAGGTGGCAGATAGTTTGTGTTCCATAAAATTACCCCCCCCCAGTAATTACTGATATAAACTGTTAATATGTAGCTATTTTCCTTGACGTTTTATGACTGGAAAGCCAAAGCCAGGCATTTAGGTCTAGGAACACAGTGAATTCGCAGGCCATGCCTTGCCACTGATAATGGTTTAAAGGACAGGGCTCTTCTGTAGGAGTATGTGATGTGTGAACTCTGATGTGACAGTAGCAAGCCCTAGGCTTGATGGGTAGAGCCAGAGCCTGAAACCAAAGGCTAGCCTCCCTCACCTTACCTCCTAACTCAATGATCCTGCAAGTCATTCCCATCTCTCTTCTTGGCTTTTCATCTGTCAAACAGGAAAAGCAAAACTATCCAATTTGGCTTTGTTTGAAGTCGAGAGCTAAATAATCATGCTTGGTTTGTGGATGGCTCTCTCACCCCCATCCCCCTTTTCATAGCTCGGCAAGGCTGTTGATGGGAAGGATTTTAGCATCTCCTGGTTCCAAACACCAAGATGTTGCCGGAGGGCTCCCGGATCCCTGTCTTTACAACACCTAGCAAATCAGCAGGAAGGCATCTTGGCATTTATTCTAAAGAGATGATTTACCCTCTCTGACACCATGTGATGCGACACTCTGTATGGGATCTTAACTTCATTATTTAAGTGCTTTAATATTCTGCACGAGCAATAGCACCCATGGAGTGGCCGGTGGAGGAGCATTCTCTGTAGTAGTTGATCTTCTAAGTGTGTGTGTACTTGTGTGTATGTGTGTGTGTGTGCGCACGCATGCGCACATGGCAAAGGTGGTTTGGGGTCCCTTTTTTAGTATTCCATCATTTTCCATTTTGGGTCCTCTGGGAATTACTATTAAAGAACATGATTGTGGAATGCTGCCCACTCACAGAAGGATGAGTTCATAAAGCTCAATCTACCTAGAGCACTTCACTGGCGGATTTGTATTCCTAAAGCACCAACTAAAATAAGAAATGTTAATTTCTTTCAGACTATTATCAGATGATTTTTAAATATCTGCCAAGCAGGAATGTCTGTTCCCATGTGAGGAATTTCCGTAATAAAACTCTGGCACTGGAGCACAAGGCGATAGTTTTATAGAAACAGAGAAAAACAGCAAGCATTTTCCCGGAGGACAGTTTTAGCTGCAATTCACCAATGCTTGCTTCGTTATTTCTGTCTTATTTTATGCTTTTGTTTTGAAACATAATGCAATTTTACCTGGATACACTCCCGGGCAATCAGGAAATAGCTCAGTATGTTGGTTGGCACTGCCAAATACAAGACCTGCGGAATATCAGAAGGCTTCGCCGCCGCCTGGCCGCTTCCCCCACTCCAAAGACTGGCAGGGTACAAAACGGGTTAAGGCTTATTGGAGAATAGAGGGAAGGGGAGGGAGCCCCGAGGAGGCCAGGAGCAGCGGGCAGCGCCTCCGGGTCCAGCTTCTATCACCTGCAGCCAGCTACGGAGCTCAGAACGCTGCTGGCTGCTGCTGTGCTTTTCCGAGGAGGAAGGATGCTGAGGCCAATTTCTAGGACCGCTGCTAGGAGTGGGCGTGGCCTCAGCAGCAGTGTGTAAGCTTGTTAGGAAAAGCTGGTTGCTTTTCAGTGAGGAAGCAGGGCTGAGGGGAGGTGTGGGGAGAGAGGGAGAGAGAGGGAGAGAGAGAGAGAGAGAGGAGGGAGGGGGGAAGGAGGAGAGAGAGCGCGTGAGAGGAGGGAGGGAGGAAAGAGAGAGGCAGAGAGCTAGAGACTGAAGATCCAGTCAGTGCTGCGTGAAGGACCGAGGCGAACCTGTCTCCAGCTCCCCGAGAGCTACTCGAGATCTTTTGGGGAGCTCCAAAAAATTATGAATATGGGATCTGTCACTGAAGCTGTCCTCAAGGCGTTACTTCTGTTGTCTACTCAAAACTGGAACAGAGTGGAAGCCGGGAATTCATGTGAGTCCACAGCAAATGATTTAAAACTTGGAGGGGGGCTCCGCGCAAAACTTTGATTCTGTTGTTTTTACTATTAGCCCTTTTAACTGGAATCGCTGCGGGTCCAGGAAAAGCACCACGGGAGAATTGTGGAAATACGAGTGGGTTCCTCTAGGTCTGGTCAAAATATACAAAATGTACGGATTTTTTTTTTTTTTTTTTTTTTTTTTTTTTTTTTTTTTACTAGCAGAATCTGACTCTCTTTGAATATTCATTGAGAATACTCAACTTCTAGTAAAACATTAAATTAACATCTTAATCAGGGACCAGCCCGGGAATGTCTTCCGTGGCGCCTTTCTTTGGGGTTATTGAATTTCGTTGGGATTGTTTGTCTAACAGGAAAACAAGCCGCAGACTTGATATTCTGCTGCATTAGCTGGGATTTTCTGAAGTTTGCGATTTAGCAGTAGCTGGCTGCAGCTCTGAAATGATGCAGGCTAAGAACTGGAACATACCGCAGACTTCCCGGGCAGGCAGGCGGAATTGGTGGGGCCACAGTCAGCATTGAAGGGCTGTGTCCTCAAGAGCACCCCCGGATAGATGGGTGGTACATCCATCCCTACATCTGCCTTAAAGGAAAACGTGCAGGTGACCCCCCCCCCCATCTTAAGTAGTGTTCTCTAGCGGTTGGATTTTCAACTTCATGTATTAGTGATTGATTGTCTTGGTGCTGAGTTCATTGATTCGAGGAACATTTGTTACAGGCTCGTTGCTTAATTTAAATATTACCCCAAACGCATTGGCCAACTCTTCCATCAGCTTGCCATTGGTGATAGGAAAAGTTTTACAAGTTTATATTTGGCTTAAATTCTCTAAAAGACTTCCCTCTTCTGTGATGCGTGATGAAGAGCTGGGCAAACAACTTTTTTATTTCCCTCTCAGATTTGAAGGCAACCCTCATCTGCTTTACGTTACAAGAAAGGGCTACAGGCCTGCTCAGGAATGAATGCCACTGCTGTACCGCCAGGGTTAGGTTTGGGAGACGAGAAACTGCTAACTCCCTTTGCTCTAGAGCCTCCTCTGACTTAGCTGGAGAGTCCTCAGGAGGGAAAAACACTGGGAACTCGCTGTCACGAGCCCAACTCCATCCACCGTGGTTCTGTGTTTCCATCTGCGGGAGCTCATTCAATGTCACAATTTATCTGCCACTCTGCAAAGGAGAGAATCTCACTCCGGTGGTTTCCCATTCAATTTTAAATTGGATGTGTGGGAATCCCATTAAGTCAATAAAATGTGCCTAATTTCACCCAGTCAAAATCTTAGGGGTCCTGAGTATGATTGCCTTGGACAAGCACTGTAGCTAATCAACAAACAACAAGGACCACAGCGACGGACCCGTACCCACCCCCACACAAGTGAAGTTCTGTGGCAAAGGTGTCATTCCTCCTGCGGCTGCACGGGTTCAGCAGAGAGGGAGCGCTAGAGGTCACTGTTGCGATAGGAAGCAGCAGAGGCGCCTTCCCTGGACAAGGGCAGAGAGCTTCACTCTGGCCTAGCCCGGTCTGGCTTTCCGGTGCATTGCCGGTGGTTCAGTTTGCAGTATATTAACATGAGTAATTGGGCTGTGAGCTGTTGATGTTTGTTTGCTCGCTCGCTTGAGAACGGATGCTAAGCGTAACCGGAGGATCCCATATTAAAGGACTTTCTTTCCTAGTACATCTGGGACCAAAAGTGAGCAGCTGAGATTCGAGGATGGGCCAGTGCTCAGGGCTGCTTGGCTCTGCCTGGGCCTCGCGGAGGTGCTAATTTCAGTGTTGGATCTGCAGCCATTGGGGTTTGATTTCCCTACGAACTCATTGGATAAGCTTGGAAAGCCTCCCACTGAAACAATCAGGAACGCTTAAACGTTAAAGTTGGAATTCTTGGTTGGCTCTTCTTCAACCTCCAAACTTCATGATGCAATGGCTTCAGATAGCTAACGGTGACTCTTGGTAATTTCTTATTGGTATTTTGACAATGTGATGCGCAAACATAGACACAAAAGATTTAATTTCCAAATTTTTATATTACTCCTTGCTTTTTACATTTTGGAGGAGTCGGCCTCCACTTGTTGCTGGGTTAGTAGAGAAGGTGTGTCTTAAGACGGAGCATGTATTAAGTGTTTACGAACACTTAATACTAACACTGTGCAAGTTAACCACAGGACAGGCAGCTGTGAGCAGCACAAGCATTCCAAAGTTGCCTTCTAAGACCTCCAATAGCTCTTCTGAAACAGACTGTACATTAATAAGAGATGATTCCATCTCAAATCCCACGAGTAAAGTCAGGGGAAACTGAATATAAGCAAAAGAAAATTAAAAACCTGTCCCCTGGGTTAATGCAAACACCTTCCTTTTTTTATTTACAACTGACTCAGGAGAAGAATCTGTCATCCACTGAGTCAGCCTTTGGGTAACAATAAGAACATTTGCCTAGGGGACTCTGTAAACCTGGGATTAGGTGAACTCTAATTTGAATATTAATTGAACTAATTAATCAACTGGGAAATTTGCATTAGAAAGATTCCATGCAATCCAGCCACCCACCCTCTCTCTCCTCTTTCCACTTCCCATATGCATGGGTATGCATGTGCACACACATGGGTTTAAGTCTAGATCACTAACCTACGTGCCGGTAACACTCTTTGCGACTCTGGTCAGTACTTGTGTAGTTATGAAACACATGGAGGGGGTTGCATTCTGTGTTTTCTGGTGTCCCATGTGACATTTCCAAGCTGTTGGAGAGGCTGCACTCCTGACTGTCTATGGTTTCTTCTCTCCCCTCTGAGACAGAGGTACTAAAACAGGGAAATTATTTTTTTCTTTTACGCTTCTTCTTAAGAATCCACAAATGCTAAATATCAAGATAGTTTTTTTTGGGGGGGGGGTTTAACTCACCACACAAGAAGGATGGGGTATAACTATAAGGCTGGGGTTTTGCTTTTGGTTTCATGTTTATAGATGACATGTCGGAGGACATACTGAGCCCCACTCTGAGAATAATTGATGCCCGCCAAATAGCTCACTAATGACTTAATTAGAAGTTAGCTTCTGACTGTGTTCTTTGTTTCCTTTAATTGAAATCGGGGATATGTCTGATATCTACCCCTGAAGGAAGTAACAAGAATATGATAAAATCAGTAGCGGAGAAAGGTGATTGCTTGAGTAGATGGTCATTCTTACCAGTTCTTGGGTACAATACACCTAGACAGATCCTCAGGTTATTAAAGTTCAGTTTTGTAGTTCTTTCTGGAAGCTTCTTTCTGTTCTCTTCCCTCCTCCAGAGATGCTTCTCTAGCAAAATAATCAAATAAATAGAGTGTAATAGTCAAGCACTGATGAATATGATTCAGGACACGATGCGTCAATGGCTGGCCCTTAGACGAGAAAATTGGTGTGCTCTCTGACTCACTCCCCTGGGACCGCTCACTTTCATCCATTCACTGCATTCCCTCCACTTATTGCCTCTGCTCTGGATCATTTCTGATGCTTTCACACAGGGCTAACGTAGCTTAAAAGCCAAAGTAGAGACCAAACATGGCTTCCACGTGACACCTAGTACTTAATCAAGGTAATAAATATTATTGTTATCTTCTGAAACTAGTTTTGTAATTCATATCACATATAAACAATGAGAGTCAGTCTGTGGGACAATGGACTTTTTTTTTTTCAATAAAAATAGATCAGTGGAATTACATAAGGTCATTGGAAAGAGGTTGTAATACTTAGCTCAGGGGTTGGCAGAGTATGGCCCATGGGTCAGATCTGGCCCCATGCTTGTCTTCATATGGCCTACGAACTAACAGTGGGTTTTGCATCTTTATCTGGGGGAAAAACAAACAAACAAACAAACAAACAAAAAAAACCCCAAAAAACAAAAAACTTAAGAGAATTACTTGTGGCCCAAACTGGCGATGTGAAATTTGAGTTTTAGTCACCCAGCTCATGCAATGGCTTAAGCAAGATTTGTGTTTAATATTATTATATTTTGAATTTGATTGGTAAAATTTTGTTAGAGTTGTCTTTTTCTTCTTGTTTTGTAATTATCTAGTTAATATTCTGTATTATTTATCCGGTCTTTTGTAGAAAAACTATACTGTTCTCTGATGTATGGTGTGTTGTGTAATATAATGGTGAATTCTAGATGTGCACAGGTTACATTAATCAATAAAAATGTTCTTATGTCATTAATCACACAAATACTGAAGGAGCTGCTCATGCTACTGGCAAGTATAACAGGAGAAGCCTTCACTTTCGTATGTTCTCTAGTTGTTTCTCCTAAATGGCTAATTTTGAGAAATATCATTTCCATGACACTGAAATACCTGCATTTGTTAGTAAAGTTTCACAGTATTTTTGGATGCTAAGGGGTCATTTTTGCATTTATGTGTTTATTTATTCACTTTACAGCCTAATTGCAGCCCCTCTCCAAATCCCAACCTCAAACTCCCTTTCTCTTTTCCGAGAAGGGGAGGCCACTGAGGGGGCATTTTTAATCTCAAGTAATCACATTACTATGCACTGCTTGGTAAAGTCTGTGAGCAATTTCACCCGGTAGTTAGGATGGAAATTCTGCCGTTGCTCCACATATTCACGAGCATAAAATATTCTACTCTGTATGAATCAGAAACTTAGATTTGGAATCAAATTGATTATGTGAGGGAAACATTCTTGTTTGAAGAGTGTTCTTGCTTTGAAAGTAACTCAAACAGCTTCCCCAAAATGCTCAAATTGGCAAACTTTCTAGAACAAATTGAAAAATAGATTTTTCATTTAAGCACAACCCACTGAGAATTCACAATAATTAAGCAAGTGCTTTCCACCTACTCATGCCAGCATAATTAATTTGTATGTAAATATCTTGTCCATTTGGAATTGTATTTACTTTTTATTTCCAGAAACTGATCATTAGGTTAATTTTATTTATATTACATTACTTACAGTATTTTAAAGAGTAAGTTAAAATGTGTCTGGGTATACTAT